TAAAACCTCAAAATTTTGGTTTGTTTGGGGATTTGAACTTATGAAGTTTGTTGTCTGACGACTTTGAATGAAAAGCAAATACTAAGTTATCTACTATAACAGTAGATTAAAAATATTTCAAATGGTTGTGATTTCCCACCTCAATTTTGTATTTTTATTCAGTTTCATGATTAGTCAATAACACATATATAGCACATGATCTAACACAGCTGAAACACTATATAAATATTTTAAAATAGGACAAAGGTAGCTGATAGTTATTACGGTTCAAAATATTTTTATAGATTAAAATGCCTCTGTTTATGTTGCAATGCAATAGTTTGAAACTGATAAACATATTGCAACACTGACATGTTACACCATAGACAGGAGACACTGATGAAGGAAGGAGAAAAGGGTTTAGTCAGCAATAAGTAGCAAATACTCATCGTTATTTTCATAATTCAATGTTTCCTGGAAGCAGTTAGTATATGCAGTGCATAATAAGTACCAACAAGTCGTAAAGTATTGCAGATATGTCCTTTCCTCGCTCAAGGAAAAGTCTCTCCAGTATTTTTGTAATATATATTTTATTGGCAACCAGGAGAGTAAGACCGGCAGTTCTGGAAAGCCATCTTAGAAAATACTTTACACTTCTGCAAGGTAGGCCTGGTTATGAGTGACACACAGATCAGCTGGATGTCCATGGAACTTCTCATCTGTTCCTTTATTGTACTTTTTTTACTTTTTTTCATCCTCTGAGGAAAGGATTTATGAGCATTGACTGAGAGAGACAAAAAAAATGTTGAAATTGGTCTTGAAAGGAGAGAAATGGGATAGGGAAGTCTAACTGTCTTGGGAAAATGAGACCTAAAAAATATTTTGCAAAGAATTTACAGTCTGTAGCTCCCAAAGCTTGAAAAAAGCATAATAATTTGTAAAGCGACACAAGTCCTCAGACTGCAAAGACAGAAGGAGAGGCACCTGCAGCAGGCCGTCCCTATGCTGCAGGAAAAGCTGATGGGAGGGGAAAAAGAACAGTTTTGGATAGAGACTGTACAAGAGTCGACATTGAGAACCTTCTCCCAAGGTCTTGAGATAAATAGCAGCATAGAAGGGTAAGTTGTTAATTTACCAAAGTCCAGAAACCTCAGAGTTAGGCATCAATTCTCTCTTACAGCAAGACAGGCCAAAAAAGAACTCAATGACCCTAGGTGGAGAGGAGCAAGCCAGGCCGTCAGTGCAGGTCAGTCCAAGTAATTCAGTATTGCGAGGCTGAAGATCATTTCATTTCTGCAGCACTAACAAACCTTCCGTCTCTCTTGTTCCACACTTGAAAGCAGCGCCAATAAAAAAAAAAAGCCACTGAATCACATGCCCTCCCCAAGCCAAGTGGAGCATTTAAAAAAAAGTGACCTGCTTCAAGTGACCTTGAAGGGAACAGCCAGCCTGCGTGGCCCACGGGACACAAGGACGATCGCGCCGCAGCTCCAGGGCGGCTACGAAGCTTCAGCTGCCACAGAAAAGACGAGAGACTCTTCCCTTCACACCCCCAGACTGCTTCCTCCACCCCCAGAGACCCACGCAGAGCATGAGCAACTTATCTAACCCCAAAGGAGAAGAAAATATCCCAGAACCACCTCAGCCCGGTCCTCATATTGCAACTCTCAAAGTTAATCTCTGCATTCATATTGTAACCAAGAGTTGTTGCCCTATAAACAAAAGCACTGTTTTCCTGCTTCAGGTACCTGTTGGGATGCGAGAGCACACGTATGATATTAAGATGGGCTATGCTCCTAGCAAAGTTTCCACATTCATACACACGAGTGAATAAATATCCAGAAAGTGCTTCTCAAAAACACACATTTGCTGAAATCTCTGCTGCCCGGGGCGGGCTGTCGTCACGCAGAACTGGCGGCACTGGCTCTGCCCCACACGCTGCAGCTTCCGGGGCACAAGTACCTAGAACTGAATCTCTTTTCAAAAGCAGAGGCCACTGCTACTCATCTGTTCCCCTCTTCTGTTTAAATAACTGTATGGTATGTATTAAAACTACTAAGGCAAGTGGCACGTAAGTATTCCTAGCAAGAACTGTCCGAGAAAACAAGGCTCATTTACCAGAAGGTGAATGATTAAAAAGGTAAAGGAATTTAAGGGGAAGTCATATCCTCATTTTTGCTGTTTTCTTTGTGGTCTTGTTTAACTAATTTTTGTGGTCATTCTACCTACTAACTGTACAAGAAAAAGCTGCACAAAAACTAGGCGAGAACACAGCCACAGATGACAAAAGAAGGCAAGCTTTCAAGAAAAATAAAACAAAACAAAACATAGCTGACTATAAAAGGGAAACAAAGATGGATCACTAGCTCTGAAATTTGGGTAAGTTCCTATATTTCTGAAAGAGCAGGTTCCATTTAGTACCAGAGGCATTCGCACTGGAATGTCTATGGGGAACTGAAAATCAAGTTTCTGAAGTATATAAACAGTTTATTCAAAAAGCTTTCAGAAGAAAATAAATGAAGAAGTGGCAGCTGCTGGACAAGGCAAAACCAAGCAGTCACACACATATTTTCTCAAGGCGTTTACAGACCCAAATGAGCTGCTATTGCAAGAGGGAGCGCCAGGGGAGTGGGATAAAGAAGAAAGTGAGGTACAAGTTGATGTGAAATCTGAGGAAGATGTAGAGAAGGGCAGCAATCTGCGTCTATGGTAGAGGAAAAAGTGAAGAGACAAGGGAAGAGTCAGGATATCAACTGTCTCTGAAAAAAAAAAACAACAGAAAAAAATGCAATAGAATGCTTTGAGTGTTTTAAACTTGGCACAGAAACGGCTAGGTTTTTTAGGCAAAGGATTAAGTAAAAATAACAAAGTGGATCTGTTTAACGCAAAGGGAGATGACACTTCTTGGTGGAGAGAATGAGTCCGTCCCGAAGCAGCCGCTCCTCTGAATATTGCCAGTCACGCTGCATAGTGCGAAAACAGGAGGAGGGGAAAGTGCAGGCCAGGTCAGGCCGGGGCTGGGGGTGAGCGCAGGCAGCAGGGCTGAGGGAGGAGGAAAGAAAGCAAGGCAGGGAATTAACTCTAGCCGTGGAAAAACAACAGCTGGGCACAGATAGAGCGAGAGAACGAACAGCAGGCGGGAACGGGCCAAGAGCTACCGGGCAGAGAGCTGGGAAGGAGCGAGGGAAGGAGGCAGGGGACGGACGGATGGCAGCACCGAGCAGGACATGCTCCGAGCTGGAAAGGGGGCGGTCAGCGAGCGACAGAAAACACTGGTGGAGAGAACATGAGGCTACCAGCCACACCGGCCAATGGAAACGACTAACGTGAATTTGACAATTAATCCTCAATTCTTCCATTTTCCCCTCTGAGCAAAAGAAGGACAGTTGCTACTGCTTTCAGTATCTCCTTAGACTAATAAGTCTCCCACATAAATTTAGAACCTAGCAAAGATAAAAATGAGTTTTTTTGGAAGAGGATAATTCACTTGGAAAAGCATGAATTTGAATAAAACTGAAGATTCCCTTTTTACTCCATGCATTGCGATATCAATAAAATGTCGACATAAAATGGTCTTATGACAGACCGAGCTGCAGCTGTGGCATATGCCCCTTATAGCACATCAAATAAAAATAGCTAAGCTGACTATTGGAAATTATTTTTGATAGGGTAAGCAAGCAACACAAAAGACTGAAAGAGCTGTATCCGCTACTATTTTGTGTGCCTCAGATTCTGATCTGAAATATTAAAAAAAGGGTGAGACAATGATTAAAGTCTAGGCAAAATGACTCTCACATGAACTTAAAAGTCTTTTTCAGAGGAATGCAATTTCTAATCCTGTTTTCCTCATTTTCATTGCTCAGGTTTATACGGAAACTCAGCTTTAAAAATGAGTTTTAATTTATATATTTAAATATATTTAGCTAGATTATAATAAAATTAATAGGACATAACAAATGTTCAAGTCTCCATAACAGCAATTTGGATTTTTTGTTTTTATTGGCCAGACAGATAAAGCGAGAGTACAGAATCCAGTCTGGAAAGGTACAACACACTCCATACCCAGAACGACGGTGAAAGAAGTACCTGAACCAGAAGATACATATATATATATGTAATATACATGAGGACAGGAAAAGATGAGGCAATTCTCTTAACAGTATGTATTATGTATTATGCATATGCATAGGAAGTGCATACAAAAGCATATTTCTTCTCTATGGGGTCCAATATCCTATTTGTTAGAGTCTGGAAATAACATGTAGCTCAATATTTGTTTTTGTACATGGTTCATTATTGATTTCACTTCTGGCAGGAAAATACTTAGCAACTTTGTGGGCAAGACTGTGTACTTGTTTTGAAATTTAAACAATGAAAGTTTAGGACAGATGAGTGTGTAGATCAACTAGGAATAATTATTCATTGAAAAACTGCTACAAGTCTTCATTATTCAGTGTCAGGTAAGTACTAGAAATAATCTGCAGTGCTGCAAATGATAAAACCGATACAGTCCTTTAGCCTAAGAAATCAAAATTTCTCAGCACTTAACACAGTCTAATATTTGTTGGCTCTCCTCTAACCATATGAAATCCAAATCAGGATATGTTTATAAAAACAAATCTGAAAAACTAGATGGCATCAGCATGATAAAAGCATGATACAACTCCATAAATTAGTAGACAACCTAAAATCAAAAGTAATGTTAATTTTGAACAAGATGTTGAACAACTACCAGACTGCAGTTTCATGATTGCTGTAGGAGACCCAAAGGAGAATTTGCTAATACATAAAATGAGAATAAGTTTCAGAAATGTCAGTTATTAGATAATATTATGATTGTGCACTTACAATAAATGTATAGACATTTCACCTGACTTTCCTAGAGAACGTGATCTTAAAATGGGAAAAGTTTTACATAACTGAAAACTCATTCAATAGCAAAAAAAAAAAGTTATAGCAATACTGAAAAGCTGATTTTTGTTTAAACACCAAGCAAGCATGGACATATGAATATTCCTAACCTGTAAAATGATTCCTCCACATTATATCAGCGAAACTCATTGGTGGGCCACTGGGAGGGTAGTGTTTACCTTTCAGAGGCTCATGATCAGTCCTTATCATATCCATTAAGGAATTTTCCAAAGAGTGCAAGTTAAAAGTGTCATAGGGCCTATTCCGGTCCTAAAAGGAAAAAAAAACAAGAGGAAGAAAAAAAAGACTGTTTTAGAATAATCATTTTCTAACACAGGCTCATTTTGTAAAACTTCACCATGGAGTCCAACATGACAAATATAAAAAGTGCTATTAGCAAGAAAAGCAGCTAGCAAATACACATCTACAATAGCTAAAATGACCGTCTATTTTACAGCCACTGCTTTTACCAATAGTGCTAATGCCGAGAGACCTTCAACATTTCTAAAATTACATACAATTAAAACTTAATTTTAGTCATTTAAGTAACAATTTAGAAATAAAACAGTATTAAGTTTATGTTGGAGAAGTGAAGTTTTTTAGTATTTCAGAGATTATTTATTTCATTTTTTCACTTTTTCTTCATATGCTGTTACGCTACAGTTCATAAATTCCACTGGGCAAGCATTGGGAAACATTCAATGTCACATTAAAACTCTGTCAATTCCTGGAAGAATCTTTTCCAAACACTGGTTACTTCAACATAATGTACTGGCTTGCAAAAATAAAATTTTAAACCCTTAGACAGCAGTAGTAACAGTACCAGCAAAAAATAAAACTCAAATGTCATCTTAGTATATAGGCATTACTTCTAATGAAAATTGTCTTTCTTATGCTATATTTAAAATAAAATAGAAGGAGAGTGCGAATTCACTGGTACTAAGATTTCTTTTACTATTCAGAAAAAGAATAGCTTACAACTACAGACACATCTCTGAAATGCAGATCTTCTTACTCCCAAAGATCACGTTTCCACAGTGTACTCAACTGAAAATTCAACTTTCCATCAACAATATGCTCTTTCTATATTTTCCAAAAGCAGAATAGCATTTATTTCATCTACTAAGCATTTTATCACAGTCAAACATTACACACAAAGAACCATCTTTTTTTTTTCCTACTACAAAGTGCATGAAGCAAAAGTGAGCTCATGGATTTTTGTCATTTCATTCAGGTGCTATTCTTTCTGATTTTTTTGTTTTCTGCAGCTAATGAAAATCCTAGCATCTGTGTATGATCTATGCAAATTGATCAATATGTATCTTTTCTACACATATATATATGTATTTTGAAATAAATTTATGTGAGTAATTTATGTGGGTAAAATTTATGTGGGTAAAATAGATCTTGACAAAAAAGGAAAAAAACTGAGTCATTTATGTCATCTAACAGAAAAATTTACTTCAGTTAAAGCAACTCACTGCTTGGTAGTGTGCAGTACAGCAGAAGAGTTGGTTTTATTTCATATTCACTTTCTTGAAACAAATGTAAGGCTAATTTGAAAAGAAAAAAACGCATAAATTGGGCGCAAAGATTCCTATTTTTGTGCTATATCAGTAACTTGACCGGTATCTATACTGTTGCCCCAAAGAATACTAGTTGTCTTTGTTTCTTTTAAAATGCTTATCTAGAAGCTTGTGGTATAAGTATCACAAGTGTTACAGTATTGGACTACAGTACATTTTAGAAGAGAAAATACGGAAAGGAGCACACAGCTTGTGTCCCAAAACAGAGAGTCAGTGGCAAAGAAGTATTTTTCAGTCGAATCAGTCCCCTGGTCTGATTTACCATCCAGCTGTAGCAGAGAGCTGAGCTGGCAAAACTAACACTGGCAGGACAGAAAAAGGGCAGGATTGCTTCTTTTGCCACAATGATAGTTTATTCTGGTTTTAAAACGTTCCTCAGATTACCATCTTGGAGGTTGGGAAAAATGACTTCAGAAGAATACACAGCCTATATATTTGATTTCATTTTATTAACATATGCACGTTATGTTTTAAGGAAAAAAAAAAGCATACACAACTACAGTATTTGAAGATTTTTCCCTAATTGTAGTCATTTCTTCTGAGCAGCCTGGGGCTCCTGTGCACATACAGGATGAAGTTTCTGAGTTCTCAGCATCAAGAAGCTCCCTGGGTTCAGTAAGTGATGCTGTTCTGTCTCCCGGTTTTGTCCTTCCACAACTACCAGATCTGCTGCCGAACAACCAGAACAGACACAATTCATTGAGGTCCTTAGTAGGACATGAGAACTTCGCTACGAGGTCCTGGGACCAAGACCAGAAATTAGAAGACAAGTGACAGAATGGTGAAGCAGACTGCAGGGCTTGGGAAAGCAATTTGGAAACCTAGCAAGTCTGGAAATTCAGCTCAGAACCCAGAGTAGACAAACATCCTGACAGCTACTTGGCCCTACTAAATTATGGATAAGAGAGAGCCCTGCAGCCAGGAGGCATTGCCCTTGGCAACACAGCAAGCACCGAGCTAGCAGAACCCGCAGCCCGGGCTGCCAGTGCTGGCTCTGCACAGACAGCAGCTACTTTCTCGTTAGGTGCGAGCGTGCACGGCAGCGCATGTCGGGTCTTACCCCAGCCCTGACCTATCCATACCCCAGGCTAAAATACAACTGTTACTTCTGCATTCACTCTTGACATAGTCTTCTTCGAAGACGTATATGTTAAGCATAAGGAAAAAATACAAATGTACATGCAGGAGCTGACTTTTGAAGGATCAAAGACAGGAGCTCCAGATGAAGTTGGGCATGATGTTTCTACCTTTAAGCACCTTACCTCTGTGACTGATCTAAAATGTCACAAATTATATGGTATCTATACTCTGTCTCTCTCAAACACAAAAGAAAAAAGGTAAACGCTAAGTTATGTCAAGAAATAAATGTCAAGACATTTAAAGAAAATGAGAAAAATACAATAACTTGCATTTTGCCTAAATTTTAGACTTTCGTGCCGATGCATCATGTTAGTCTTTAATCACATAACACAATCATTTTTCAAAATGTCTCTCTAGTCTCCACCCAATGTGTTTAATGACCCTGCCCTGCTAATGAATCAAAATTGCGCTGGGAAGGAGCCTGTTTATGCCCGGGACAGACACCCGCGCTGCTTATCCCAGGAGACGACGGAGGTGCAAGCAACGTGTCAGCAAATTCCAGAAAGGGGGAAAAAGTTCTTAAAGCCAGGCTACAACAGCTTAATTACAAAATTGAGATTGCTTAGTTCTAACTAGAGTTCTCTGAAATATGTAACTGTCGTGTATGTACGTGCCATAATTTGGGATCAAAAGAACTCTTCCCCTTGTCCCATTCTGCTTTGCCCAGTGCCCATCAGACTCGGGGCGCAGGCAGGTGGGGACAAAGCATCCCCGGGGCACAAACCAGTGCCAAGGAGGTAGAGGAAGAGAAAAGACAACACAGACTCTAAGAGCCTGTGTGATAGTTATTCATAATAATTTTTTAAGTGACAGCCCACACGCATGTACTTACACTATAGGTATTTCTACTCAATTTTGCCCTGTCCTATTTTATGCAGAGGACAGGACTGAGATTCTTTATGCAGACAGTAACAGCAGTCAGATCTGGCAGCCTTCAGGGACAGAGTTGGGGCAGTGCCTGGTGAACTGAAGAAAACTTAGCTCAGTTCAGTTCTGGGATCTATAATGCTGGATATGCTGTCTAAGTGAAGCTACTATTCATACCCAAAATCCTTAAATATGTATTCATGCATGTGCTGAATCCATGCTGCCACGGCCTATTGAACACAAAATACATGCTGAGTTTAGAGATACACCCGGTCTGCCCATTTTGTAGTAGGCAAGCAGCACAAACTTGGGTACCTAGACTATTCCAATGACATTCCAAAAACTCCTTGTGCCTATACATTTCAGTCCATATCCTGGCTTCCTACTAAGCTTCCTGTATTCTGAACATTTTCTATCCACCAGGGCACAGACATCACACCTACTGTTTAGATCAGACAAATGAGATTAAGCAACTTTCCTGCCAACACAGGCATATTCACCATGGTCACTGCACTTGAGTTTTCTGAGGCTGACAGAAATCTGGATTTACATGGCTGCACACAACTGCTAAGCATTGCCAACTAACACTGAAGTCAAAGGAAGCAAAATTCCAAATAAAAACGGTGTAAAATATCAGCACTGCTTTAAACTGAGCTCAGTCTCTTGCATGCAGAGTCATTCTTGTTCTCTTTCTGTGTTCCAGCACCTGCCAGAGCTTTTATTATCAGCAGCACAAGGAAAAGACGTTGACCTCACTCCAGCATCCCAATGCAGACCAGGAACAGCAGCCTCAAACAAAACTGCCATGGATGGTCTGGGATGTGCTCCATCTGCCACGACATGAACCACCACACAGGGCAAGCGCCTCGTGTTCCTGGGCCCTTCTTCCAGCTCCTCGCAGCCCTCGCCTGTGAAGTCCCTTTAAACCTGCAGAGCACCGCTCTGTTTGCGCTTGCACCCTCAGTACAGTTGAAAGCAACCATGTAAAAAGTAGGAAATCTGGTCACACAGTAAAATAAAATGATCATTTTGCAAAAGAATCTAAAATACTTTAAAATAGCAAGTGTTACTTCCTTTGCAGCTTGGCGCTGGAATACTGCCAGTCACAACATGACTGACAACACAGATGCAGGCAGAACTAGAATAACCATGAATTCCACTTTTTTTTCCCCCCATTTAATGGTTTTTAAAAAAATATGTAGAATCAAAATGCATAAAATGTAGGAAAGAAGGAAAAACATGTCAGATTTTTCTAGGACCATGGTAAGGAACATTAAGTAGAGGCAGTGGCATTAAGCCTCAGTGGAAATGATTTCAATTCTTCTTTTTTAATCTTTTCAGTTATTTTTGGCTAGTATTAATTTAAGCAAGACTCATTAGGTTTCATTTCAAGAACAAAAAATCAAACAAAAAAAAAAGATTTTCTTATGTTATTCTTGTTCTTGGAATGTCCATGGAAGAAAGGCATTAGCTTTTCATATATTTGTCTTTTCTTGCTACTAGCTGTTACGAGATTGTTCTTTACTTTAGCAAGTATTCAGCAGAAGTTTACTGGGAAAAAAACCTACTTTTTGCCTATGTAGCTTATTGGAAAAGCTAGGAAGAAGAAAGAAAAAATACAAATATAAAACAATATCCAACTGTAGACAGATTACAGAAGACTTCAGTGTTATTTGA